CTCTCTCTCTCTCTCTCTCTCTCTCTCTCTCTCTCGTTTATCACTGTAATAATTACTCTAAATTATAATTATAACACAAAACAGAGACAAATAATTGCCACATGAAATCACAGCATTTTTCAGTGTGTTTTTTAAGTCATTATTGTTTTGTTAATTTAATTATAATCTCAAAATGACTTTTTAATTAGTGATACAATTGTATCGCAATAGCTATGATTTTAACACTACCTCAAGTTTAGGTTTATTATAATGAATACTGTATAAATGAACTGTATAAAAAGCAATTCAATTTGTAAATTAGGTTTTTAAGTATAATTCAATTTAAGAGTTTTAATCAATATATTTAAAAGTGAAATAAAATTCATTGTAAATGCATTACAAAACACATACATAACAAATGCCTAATTATTAATTAATTAATGACATTACGGGTCTACTCGTAATAAATTAAATTTAACACAAAATCTTTTGAACACAAAATTTAAATTATGAAAAGCAATTATAAAGAAAACATATATCATTCAATACAAATGCTATCCATATCTCTATCTCTCTGCATTTACTTGAATTGATAAACAATAACAAGTTTTGCGCAAAACTATTAACAAAAATATCATAAAAATAATGATATATGAGATGAGAAGCCGATGGCCAAGAAGTGAGCCATTGGTTGGTCGGCGTTGTGTGAACAACAGCCACAAACAACACACCACTCAATTAAAGCATATAATAATTGACTCAAATAATCGCATATAAAGTGAAAGCTATTGATTTAAATGCAAATAAATTGTTAATTTTTTTTGATTACAATTAAGTGTTGAATAAATACTCAGTAATTTGAAAAGTTTTTAAATATACATACCATTTATATAACCAATTATACGGTATATTAATCACACGACAGACACTACGGCTGGCCATCAGTGGCCAGTCATGTCCCGCACTCACACACAGTCATCACATGCAAAACAATATCCTCAGAGTCGACAACAAAGTGTAAGGCCTTCACTGCCAACAATCAATTGCTAGTCTTTGAGTCCATTCGCGTCATTCATATGGTGTTCACACTTCAGGCCTTCACTCTCTTCACATTCCATTGACTCACATGTGAACCATAGGCCAATCTAGTGGTCACTCATAGACAACACTCACACCATTCATACCATACAATCATCACTTTATTCACACCACAAACACAACACATTTATGCATCTCTCTCTCTCTCTCTCTCTCTCTCTCTCTCTCTCCCACACACTACAGTTTAGCTCCAATTGTCTTCCATTTCCTATCTATTATTTAACTCAAACATTTAAACCTTTGTATTGTACCGCAAACACAATCAAAAGTAGAGAGAGAGAGAGAGAGAGAGAGAGAAAGAAAGAGAGAGAGAGAGAGAGAACAGTATTTGAATACAATACTGCTCTTTGTGTTGAGATAGAACAAGAGTAGAAGTGCAAATGTTGTTCATGCGACAACGTTATATTATACACGTTGTAAATAAATTGGGATATTAATATCCTAAACGTTTTAACTAAATCAATTTAACCATGATAATTTAATTTGATAATAATATAACTTTAGAAATTTATAAATCTAACTATTTATGAGACATTACTAATTTTTTCTGGCATTCTTCAATGATTTATAATTAAAATTCGAAGTGTAAATGAGAAACAAATTTTGCTAGAAAACTGTCACAATATCCTGTTAATAAAAACATTACACAATTACAATATATTATAACTTTATATCATGGCATCCGGTCTCCACTTAATTAAAACTATATGCAATTTAATATTTTTATTTTTTATAAAATGATTTGGAAATTTTTAATATTAATTTTTTAAATATATTTTTTAATATTCTGGGATTTTACATTTCCGGTTAGCAGTTAATTTGATCAATTATACGTTAAAAACTATAAGCATTGCAATGAGTTACACACAATTAAACAATATAATTAATTTTAGACAAACAAATAAATAATTATGGTAGAACTTCAATTAAATGACCAAATAGAAAGATCTCTCTCTCTCTCTCTCTCTCTCTCTCAATATAATTAAGTTAAATAATATATTACATATTAAATATAATGTTGTACTTTCTCTTTTAAAAGGAAATTATACGATATTGTAATTACCATTATTTGATATTCTTTTATAATTTAATCGATAAATAATTAAAATTACATCTGCGTAATAATTTTTCCATTTATTATTTAAAAATTACAACATTTTAAATGTGTTTTAAAAACTATAATATAAAAAATAATATTAAATTACAAATAATTTTTAAACTAGAATTTTTTAATTTAAATTATAATTGCAAAACTTTTAAACCATACGGTAACATGTAAAAGTAAAATCAAAATGAGTAATTTGCATAAAACTGTCCCAGCTTTTTAAAATCTAGTCACTTGAAGTTCTATCGTCGACCAGTTTAGACTAAACTAAAAATTTGAAAAATTATTCAATAAACATCTATTTTTGAAAGTAAGTGACTATAATATATATTTTAATAGATCGGTATTTAAGTAGCAATTAATTCTCAGGAAAACATGAACAAGATTATCTCCGTTTTGATCGTATTTGGATTGGTGTTGTCAATCACTCAGGTTGATGGAAAGACCTATGGCAAGAAATGCCCTATAGGTACAAGACAAAACGCAGCTTTGCCGTGCGACTATACACAGGAGACGTGCCAACCAAGGAACGGTGAAAAACATCTTTATTGTAAACTCGGTTAATAATAATGATAATATAGCGAAAAATCTACAATGAAGTTTTTTCAATGTAACTGTGTTTTCATTATTGTCATGATTTTCAATAAATAATAAATGTTATTATAATTGATATATCTGTTTAATTTATTTTCATAAATTAATATAATCAAATATGTAGATTTTACAATCAAAACAATGTTCTTTGATTGGCTCACTCTTGCTCTCTCTCTCTCTCTCTAAATCGTCACGCACCACTGGTTCTCTTTCTTTCACTCATTACCATTTCTATTGAATTAATTCCTGATTAATATACGGAGATATAATTCATAGATATAATTTACATATAAAATTTACAGTAAGATATCAATTGGTTGAGTGCGATATTCACGTCATTTATATCGCACAGTGTTTTGAAAATTTTAACATTGGTTAAGATTATTGAATCAAATTTAAAATTGCATTTATTGTATAAAAATCATTCGACTTTAAAATTTTAACATTTGAGTAACCCGAAAAATATTTATGATAAAATATTTTTAAATTTAAATTCAATATCAGAGTCAAATTATACATAGAATTCATATATCATATCAATAAATTAAATTTCGATCCACCGACGAGTCACGCTTCGACGGGTACGGGAATAACAAAGTTGTGCCACTTTTTTATTAATGGTGTTGATAAATTTTTAATAACATTCTCTCTTAATTATGCTTGTTTCCCCTGTAATATAGCATATGCCTCAACCCCGATTAGCAAATTAATAGGGCTGTAACTTTAGGATCATTTTGTGTTCAGTTTCTCATTGTCCAGCCAGTTGTCAGCAAAGAATGAGCCTTGTTAAATAAATATTTATAATTAGTAAATTTATTACAATTTTTCCTGTATTTGCATTACTTATATAAGTTTTGTATTTATCATCGTAGATGTAAAACCAACTGAGCTCGTCGTAATCGGATGATGTGGATGCGTACACATTAACATTGGCGGGCAAATGGTTTCGGAACATAAAAGAGCAAAGCGTGCATAATTGGGCATTGGCGGGCATTGCTATAATATATTTTCTATATGGCATAATGTTGCCAGTCCAGCTTTTAGGCACTTTGATCACTCCTGTTTTGGAACATTAAACCTAGTTAAGACAATATTTGTAAACAAGTTAATTTAAAATATTAAGTAATGAAAAACATTAAAATATCAATATTATAAAAAGTACCCGAATCGCATGTGTCCAAGTAAATTGTAAACTAGGCAAACTTTTTCTCCTCGTTCAATTTGACCAAAACTGCGTTTAAGGCCTAAGCGTATAAGTAGGATGAGGGGAAAGCAACCAGATCTATTTGTAATTGAAAATAGTTATCATATTAACAACAGGTTAATACAGTTATTTTAATAATCTATTTTTACCTGGTGAACTATGGCCGCCAAACTAGACAAATAAATATGATCATTCGGTTCACTTTTGACAACTTTGTTACCAGCGGCAGCTAATTCAACACCACCCACCAATACCTTTAAAAAGTTCTATAACAAACAAATAACATGTTACTATTTTTAATAAATACAGTAAACCTAATAAAATGGTTAATTTGTAGAATAAAACTTTTGTCTAGAATCTACAGTATATTCTAGATATATTAAAGTATTATAATGCTTATATTAATACCTGGGGATTAAAGTCTATGTAACTTTAAACTTGCACAATAACTGATCATGGTGATGTGTTTATCTCTTATGTGAGACCCGCCGTAAGATTTTACATAAAGTGCCTTAAAGTGTAACACAAAATACTTTATATTACGGGTAGTTTATTAACAATTAAAGTGTATATAATGTACAGTTTATTCACGTTAATATAATCAAAGCTTCGGTTTCAACCCCGATTAAGAGATTAATGCTATTAAAAGACTTCTTCAAATGATTAGCCATGTGTTTAAAAAGTCCTGTGTTTTTAAGAGCACTGTAATTGACAATATTTAATGTTAATATAAAATTTACTAAATATAAACTTACCTTTTCTTTTTGGTGATATCTGTAACAAAATCGAGACGACATATAAGTATCTTTAGCGTTGCGTCCACAAGTGACCGTTATTAATTATAATGATAGTAATTATAAAGTAATAAAAATGGCGTGTATTTTGTTAATATAATTTTATATTTTAGTTTATTAGTTGGTTTACTAAAGTTTCATATAGTTATGTTAAGCAATTATGTTTATAATTATAAATAATTATTTACTTGTTTACATAAACTTTACTTACAAGTAAATTAATAGTTATATTAAATAAGCAATTCAAAAAATAAAAATTGTACATTTTATGTTGGTTAGTGAAATAGTTGTTAAACTTTTATAAATTGTGATTTATTTACTGAAACATTAATGTAAGATTTTAATAGCATTAGTATGTTTTAATATTACTTTTAAAAATATTTAAATATTGTAAATAAATAAATAATTAAAATTTATATTTGAAATATCTTAAAATAAAATACGTTTTGCAAAATAGATTTATTAAGTTTGTATTAATAATCACATATTAAATAAAATACAATAATAAAATAATCTAATAAAATGTATCACAACATAGCATCATGTTTTAGCTTAATTTTACTTTTGATAGATTGAGTAAATTATTAAATTAATACTATGTTATGATACCGTATATTTATAAAATATATCCAAATTGATTGTCAGTGTATTGACTGCAGTGTTGTATCAATTGGTTGACAGCGATGTCCGCATCACTCGATTCACGCATTGTTTCACAAATATTCACAAATACTTGTAATTTGCGTAAAACGTAAGTATCCTATAATTAATAAAATATATTTTTATAAAATAAACAAATGTTTTTTTGTGTTTAAATACTTGTGTCAAATCAAAGCAATTTTCATTGAAAGTGTCCGCAAATTTTCGATAACATTGTCTGTCATTGAGTTCTAGTTTAGCATTTAATATGACATTACTATCGACTGTCAGTAAGTGTTGAATACTAATCACGTAATCAATAATGTGTTTATCAACATATTGCCTGCCATTTAACAGTCTCTGCATTTCATTCACATAACTGTCAAAATTAACAAAATTTATGTTTATATATAATTTATAAATATATTTTAAAATTCACATAAAAATGTTGAATTACCCTAATTTCTCATTATTATCGCTGGTACTGTTAATACGTTTTTCCAATAAATTTAGTGCCACATCCCATTTGCTAACAGTTTCACTATTTTGAATGTGTTTATTAGCAGGGACATTTAACAATCCTTTTTGTTTATGGCCTAAAAATTCAGCAATATGCAATTGACCTAGGCTATAATTGCCGTAATGTTGTGCATGTTGATAATCATCTTCACCAACTTTAACCCAATCGGCTAAATACTTATATTGTTCATCAAAGGTCTCCTTTTCCAGATCGTAAGTCTCATCATTTACGAGCCAATTGTTTGCAAAAAACGAGCCTGGTGAAATGTTTAATTGTTAATTATAATAATCAGGGAGTAATCAATTTATCATACTTTATATGTTTTCAGTTTGGCGTCATACGTTAAAAAGTTGCTTGTTTCATCTGGGAGTGACGAAGTGACCGCGTACACATTAATGTTATCCAGTAGTACTTTATTGAACATGGAGCCTGGGAAATGTAAGTTTGTTAAATTTTAATTTATTATAAATATTTTAATAAAATAATTTATAAAATATAATTACCAGAACTACATGTATCAATGTAAAAAACAAGTTTGGCGTATTTTTTCATCAGGTGCATACTTTGTAATGTTTTGATTAAGTCAGTAGCGTATAAAACTTTGCCATGGTTAAATTCAACCATTCCTATAATATTGTAAGTGAATTATTTAACACAATAAAATAATCAATGAATTTAAAAAAACATGTTATATTACCAGGGGAACCATGATCGCCAAAATACACAAACACGTGATCGTTTGGCCCACTTTTAACCACTTTCTTGCCTCTCTTCACTAACTCTGGGTCACCACTAATTGCTCCCAAAAAGTTCTAGATAGAATTTAATTATAATCAATACAATTAATATTTAATTATAATTTAATTAGATTTTACCGTAGGGTTAACATTGGTGCCGATATAATCTTTGGGAATATCATGGTACAGATTTTTACCTCCAATTTCGTTTATGACAACCCCTGGGTTAGGATTTTTGCTGTGATGTGCGATATCGTCGTAATGCATGACAATTATATTGCTCTCCGGTATGCCATACGAGCGGAACAAATGATATGCCCGGTATACTAATGCCTAAATAATATTGGTTAAAAATGACTGTAATAATGATAATGAAATTAATTTATTTTAAGGGTTAATATACCTGATCGGCATAATTCTCCCATCCGTTACTCCCGGCGCACAATACGACCCATTTATGGCTATTGTCCACATCATTGGCGGCCAATTGATCGGCAAATGGCAGTCCATTACAGACAGCGATATACGCGACTAATAATACTAATGATATATTCATTATAATTATTTTGTTATTAATGAAAATATTATAAAATGAAATTAATATTTTAAACTATTTATAGTTTAGAAGTTTTAGTATCGTTTGGTGTACCTTGCACAATTTAAGCTTGTATGTTTGCAATAATTATCAATATAAGCCTAATGTACTAAACTTCCATGCTGATATGAAAGTAATATTTTATCAATTTGCTTTTCTAATTTAGATTTTATTTTCTTGGAAAATAATAGCAACTTTTTTATCTATCAGTATTTAGTTTAGTAAATAAAAGTTCAGTTCAAATTGTACGATAAAGTTTATATATTTTTTGGTTACCTAATTGTTTTAAACTATTTCTATTTAAACCGCACTAATATTTACTGTTGCATTTCCAAAGTCTTTAAATTTTAGATAATTTTTTCTAATATTTTAAATATTAGAAATATATTAGAAATATTTAAATATTTTTAGGACAATTTGAAAATACAGGTCATTCCGGATAGAGATATATAGTAACTTTATATAAGGATCCTCAAAAAGTATTGGCCGTCGGAATTTGGCGATTACTCGGGAACCGTTGAAGTGACACTAGTGTTACTTCACACATATATAGAGTCATATCGGGAAAATTTTATAGCATAAATATTTTTTCAGTCACGTGATTATTTTTTTTTAAAAATGGGTAATTTTCGGAACCCATAGTTATTTGCTATTGTGGTAATAGAAGGGAGGGGTGGGGGTTAGAGGTGGATAAAAGAGGTGTCACAGTGTTGCACAAACTTAGAACCATCATGATAGCATTTCAGGTTTTTATGCAATAAATGAATAAAAATGACCTATTTTTGCATGTTAACCTATGGAAAGGTAAAATAAAATTGGATTTAAATACATTGAATTATATTCTTAAATACTACTATTAATGCTGATTATGTTAGTACAAAAAAGTTTTAAAAAATATTAATCTAAACACAAAATATCGTTAATTGAAATATTGAGTTTTAGCCATATTTTGCCATAAAAACGTAAAAAACTCAATATTTCAATTAACGATATTTCGTGTTTAGATTAATATTTTTCAAAACTTTTTTGTACTATCATAATCAGCATTCATAGTAGTATCTAGAAATATAATTCATTGTATCTGAATCTAATTTTATTTTACTCTCCCATAGATTAACATGCAAAAATTAGTCATTTTTACTCATTTATTGCATAAAAACCTGCAATGCTATCATGATGGTTCTAAGTTTGTACAACACTGTGACACTTCCTTTATCCACCCCTAACCCATACCCCTCTCTTCTATTACCACAATAGCAAATAACTATGGGTTCCGGAAATTACCCATTTTTCAAAAATAATAATTACGTGACTGAAAAAATATTTATGTTATAGAATTTTCCCGATATGACTCTATATATGTGTGAAGTCACACTAGTGTCACTTCAGCCGTTCCCGAGTAATCGCCAAATTCCGACGGCCAATACTTTTTGAGGATCCTTATATTTGATGTAAATTGTATTTTGTTTTATTTAATAAATAGTAATTTTATATCAACTAATTCAAAATGCTGATTATAAACATTTATTTTATTTGTAAATTATTATATACAATAAACATACAATATGAGTTAATTTAACCTTGTAAAATAGCAATTAAAATTTTAGATAATTATTTACAACAGTGAAATAAATGTTGAAACACTTTAGTGAATTGTCATACAGCGCGTGTACATTTATCAAATAGATAAAATTGATTTTTTGTAAAAATTCATAACAATTCATTTGATATCTTATATTCTATCTAGCTTAAATTTTCTCAATTCTAATATCAAAACACAAATAACTTAGATATTGATAATTAATACAGTTTGGGTAAATATTTTAATTACTCAATATAATATTTAGTTACAAATTTAATATAATAATATATTAGAAAGATCTAATGGACCAAGTACAAATTTGGTTTATAATCTTAAATATCTCTTGAAAAATTATGAAACATTTTTAATTTTTTTTAAAAATTACTGATTATTATTTTGCTAAAATTTAGTATAAATAGTATACAAGCAACTGTCAAAATATACAACAGTTATAACTAAATACAATATAAAGTAATACAACTAAGATTAAATCTACATGTATAATTTATTATAATTATTTTCTGAGGGAAAACGTCTTCAGCTCCAACACATCCAGAGGAATACCTATAAGACAACCACTTTTCCTATACTTACCATTGTTTAACGCTTTTCAATCCAAATTTCAATGTAAACCTTTACTCCCATTTATAATCCTCGACACTCTTATCATAGCCCTAATCCTTAACTCAAACATTGCATTCAATGCACTCAACGACCAGTTCTAACCACTATTTCCGCATACAAACCAAACCATGTATTTCCCGA